ACTTTTTTATTTCTAACAAAATATCATATTCACTGCCAAATTTATATCATTTTCCCATTTTGTTAAAAAAAAAAATTGAGATTTGTCAATAAACCTTTCATTTAATAAGTGTTGGTCTTTTCTAAAAACTTTATATTATTTTAAAGGAATTTTTTTTTAAATTCTCTTTGTCAAATTCAATTTTTGCCATAGCATGAAATTATTTGAAGTTTTTTTTCTAGAGCCATTCATTTTTTTCTAGTTTGAATGGAATTAATTTATGCTAGTTCAATTTATAAATTAATGTTTTTCTGAATTATTTTCATTTTAAAAACCAAGTAAACAGATTCATTAAAAACATCACTGATTTCACCAACAGTAATCAATTTTCTAGATGGAAAAAATATTCTAGGCAGGTAATTTATTGGTTGTTTGTGTTTGCGGTGCACATAGTGACTGGGAAATAAACAAATGGCCTCGGCAGCTGCGTTGAATGGGCCGCGTAAAAAGCGTCTCGACGTGCGTGTGTCACTTTTTGTCTCGTCCAATTTTTTATTTATCAGCAGCGCCGCCAACGTACGTGTATTGACGCGTGTGCAACATTAGTCAAAGCGCGGGTCCAGAGAAGCTTTTTGTCGCTGCGAGACCGAAATAAATAATCCGTTCTATTAAGCTGCCGGATGACAATAACGATACATCACAGGTGAAATCCAAATTTTGTTTGACATCGGCGGGCGACCATTAATTCCACCATAATTCCTTCTCACTGGGGAACATCGCCATAAAGTATTGACCGATTTTTGTCAAATATGCACAAATTGAGATAGAGGAGAAGACAATTTTAACAAGAGATATTGTTTATCTTTTTCTAATATTAACCTCCAAATTAATAAAGGGAGGGGTTCAGGTTTCATTTAAAAAACTTCAATTTTAAAAATTGGTTGCAGTTTTAATTAATATAATTTCCCTTCAAAATTAAAATTCCTCAATTTTAAACATTTCAAATTGTATCAGTGTCAACCTCATTTTAATTGATTCATAATTAGTTGAAAATGAGAAAGAGGTGAACTTAAAAATGGAGTGAATTTTGAAAAATATTAAATTTTAATGATATCGTATTGTCACTTAATAAAAAAAAAATGGCAGGTTATATTATTATATTAACATAAAATCAGAGGATCGTGGGATTACGAAAATATTTGTCTTCGTTTCTTATTTTGGACTACTGGAGATTGGCGGCGTTCCCTTCTCAGAAGCAGTTTGTCCGGTTTTATTTTGCACGGAATAATAAAATAAATAAGCGGATGGTTAAAAAATTACATTAATTCGCGAAAACGAGAGAAATCCATTGGCTACCTTTTACGATTGGCATAAATTCAGCAGACAGCGGAATGCCGCGCGGTGGCCTTCAAAAGTGAGTGAACACAAGATGATTCATAACTCAGCACACCCGTTAAATCGAATTGGCGAAATAAAAAACAACATTATTCCAAGCTCTGCGAGATACAAATCAGAGTTGCTGGACGCGTGAGAATAAATCTCCGGCAATAATAATTCCGCCCCGGGCTAGCGAGTAGGCTTTTTGGCCGTCGCCGCAGCTCGCCCGGTTGCATACCCGGCGCAGTGGCAGGCGTCGCCGGCTAATGCATCTCTATATCCCTCCTGCGAAAAGCATCCGGCCAAGTCACGCCGAATCAAGGGCTTTCTTGCTCAGGCAGATTCACCCCTCGCAGCTGAGTGGGGTGCGGTTTGATTTTGTTAGCAACATGAATAAAACAGACTGTGGGCGATAAATAAAACATTAGTCCGCAGACGCCGCATTGACCCCGAGGAGATGAGCAGCGGAGAAATAAGTGCAGTCAGGTGCATTAACTCCCCCGAAAGCTAATGTTTGCTATCGCTTTTGGTCCGATGCCAGATCTGCCGAGATTGGCTCGGTTAATCCTAAAAAACGAAAGGTATACACAAGAAGTTGAGAACGACTTGTTTTCCTCCTTCGACCCAGTTTTTTTTATCCAGCTGCAGAGAGAAAAATGTTTTAATGGAAAGAACAAATTATTTTACTGAAAAAAACTCTCTAAAATCTGCTGAAATCTTATTTATTTATTTTATTATTATTTTTATTTTGAGTCTTCATTACAGGTAGGAAGCAATAAAATAAATATATATAAAATTATTTTTATTAATTCTATATTGAAGAACATCATTGATGTCAATAACCATTTATCCTAATATAATAATTATAGGGACATAAAAAAACTCTTTTAGCAGCTATGGGTGTACATAAGAGTTATTATTCAAGAAACATTATTATCACATGATCTTGATGGTACTATATATATTTTTTAAATAAAATTTAAAACCATTGTTATACTTTGTTAAATTTTACATCTTAAAGTTAAATGACAAAAATTAAAAAAAAACCCCAATAAATATTTAATTAAATAAAATTACAATTTTAAGCTTTTTTAAAAATATGTTAATATCATAAAAATAAATAATGATATGATATTAGTATAAATATTTTTTCATTTTAATATATTCTTCTAATTTAATAAACTTCATTACAAAGAAATGCTGTTCTTGTATGTGTTACAACGGGTGAATATCAAGAAAGTACTGAAAGCGTCACTTTTATTTCAACAGAGTGCACTTTTGATGTCTGGTAAGTGCCGAAAGGGGCTCGTGTACTAATGACGGCGACACAACTAAAACATAACCGCCACCCGAAATATGATTATATTTTCTCTGCTATTTTTTCCACGTTCAAACAGGCCGCACATCCCATCATTAGTCATTTGTTAGAACTCTTTTCTGCCCCCACGTGCCCCTCCCGTGAAGCTATTCTTGAGTTACAAATTTAATGACGTGGTGAGATAGGAAGGATTAGGGGCTGCACTGATTATCCCCCGAAAAGCTGCGCTCGAGAGCTACGACGCACATACCACTCTGCTCGCATTTTCATTTCATATTTTATTAATAGAGCGGCAGGAACAAGGTGGATTTGTTTTAAAATTAAACACGCCGCGCCAACAGCGTGCGCCGCCATAATTCAAGCCAGAGCAGCGACGTGCCCCGTGAACTAACGAAATTGCTCGCCTGCCTCGCAGTTTACACAACACGCACTAAATTTAATTACACTTGGGCTCAGAAGAAAATGGTTACAATGAAAAGAAAAAAAAATTAAAAAATAAATAGAAGATATATTTCTGGTGGAATGTCAAATTTTGACTTGGAAATTAAAAAAAAAATTATTTGATTTGGTCCAAAATTAATTATTGATATAGATTTTTCTAATTAATACAGTCATTCTGAAATCTGAAATTCTGAATAAAAAAAAGTTGGATTATATTAAATGTTTTGTTTAATTTCTCAAAAATATAGAGAATATTTTTGGAAATTTGAGACTGCTTTACATTTTATGCAGTTTTAAGTTGGCATTACAATGAATTTATAGCCTCTGTATTCCTAAGGATTTATTGTCTATATTTAATACTTTTTTAAATAAAATTAAAATTAATATTCAGGAAAAATTAAGCGAAAGTCATTTTTCACGTTTAATATTAATATTTCTCACTTTCCATTTTGTTTTTACCTCAAATTGTCTGCTTCAGAATATGAACTTGAGTTTCACATTTAATGCTGCTCTCCACTCTGACATTTTCCATTTTCCACATTCAGATTTTCACGCTCTGCCGGAGAGTGGAATTGTTTCGCGGGGCGCGCGCGAGCAAATTGCATTTAATTTAATATCTCACGCACCAGCACGCGGACGACGAGAAGGCAGGTATGCAACCCTGCGCGCGGCCTAATCTCTGCCGCTTCCTGTTCTGCCAAGGAAACGGGAAACAACATTTCTCCCTGGCGCGCGATAAGGGCGCACCATACTTTCGCCCGGGCCATTGTCTGTGCTGCTCTCTCTCGCACCTGAGGCCTGTTTTTAATGATTTTTCCTCTCGGGCCGGCACATATGCACTTTAATAGAGAGAGAGAGAGAGAGCGCCAGCCTTGGATTAACACTCCTCGGAGGAAGGGCCGGTCGCCGCTTTTTATCTCCCCAACTGGCGAAAAAAGAGCCGCGCGCGTTTGCACTAGAGAGAGCTCAGGACCTTCCCAATAAAGGGCTTGATCAAATTTTCTACAATTTATTTCTTAAACTTTTATTTAAATTACATTTTCTTTGTTAAATGAAATTCAAATTGAAAAAAAAATCCTTAGATAAGTAAAAAGTTTTCCATTCAGAAATATTAAATATGACTTTTATTGCATTTAAACTTTGTGAATCCTCAACTTATAGTTTGAAGGTGACTGTTTTCCTGTACTACGATCAACAAAGAAATAAAGTCTTCAAAATTAAGTATATACAACCCAAACTATTCAAAACATATTCCAATATAATGTATTTTTTTTTTTAAACAGTCTATAAATATTTTCAAAACAGATTGGCACAATATGCAATTATCAAATTTAAGATTGAGTTTAAAAAAAACCTGAGGGCTTTTTCATTGGTCTTTTTTTTTGAGCTGTGCGATTAGATAATTTTGAAACGGTCAAGGCCCGTTTTCGAGAACGTCCCTTTTAGTCTGTGGCCATCAAACGTTTTCGCCCAGCCGGGGACTTTCTTTCTTCTCTTCTTTATACACTGGACGTGGTGCTAAAAAACAGGCAGCGGGGGCGAGAAGCCGACACACACGCTCGCTGCAAAAGGGGAAACTCCTTGCATCTTTCTTACGGGTCACTTCGCCACACGGAAACAATAAAAAATCATATTAACGTTGCGATCGATACTGCGTGGACTCCCGAGGCCCGCCGCCGTCGTCGTATTGTTTCGGGGTTGAAACTCATTGCGCCGGTGTTGCAGTAGTTGTTTGTTTGCCTTAATAATGCAAACAAACAAGAAAGGGTTCGGGCAAACTTTGCGTCTCGTCGGCGACGCGCGTGCACAACCCGGGCGGGGAAATAGATTTAGGAGCAGATATATGCGTGCATATCTATGTGTATGTTTGTGAAATGGCGCTTACCTTCCGTGCTGAGGGCCCACGTTTCCGCTATCAAAAGATGAGCTCGCTGATATGTCCTCGTCCCGGATTGCGCCGGACTCCATGCCCATTGGCGCGATGCATTGGGCTGAAATGAACATCAAATTCTCATTAGTATATCGATCAAGTGATTTCAGGATTGATGAGTGATCAAATTTAATTGCAAAAACATGTAAAAGCTACATTTTAAAAAATTAAATACTTTATTACTTATTTTAAAATAATTTTATAATATATTTTATATTATACAAAAAATAACTATTATAATAAAAAGTAATTTATTTATCGCATTATTTTATTTGTTGACTACAGTCAAAAAATTGTATTTGAAATGCAACTTGTAACTCAAAATTTTTTCTTACCCATGAATCTACAAAATATAAAAAAATTCTACGAAGTCAGGTAAACTTAAACTTATAGATATTTTCACGAATGAACATAGATATTACAAAAAAGGGGGCCTCATCTAGATAATTTTTGTATTAATGATGTTAACTACCTAATAATAATTAAATATATTTAATAATGAGTAATAGAGACTGACAACATATAACATATTCATGGATTCAATAATTTAGTTTTAAAACTTCTCTAAATTGACATTTTTCTTAATTCCTAAATGTTTGGTGAGGTTAAATTTAATGAAAAAAATTATTAATCATTATCATAAATAAGTTGGCTACATTTTTTAATTAAGACATATGTATTGCATAAATTTAAAAATATAAAAAGTAACAATTATGCAATTAAAAAAATATATTAGCTTAATGCATTCAGGATAATGACCCCAATGTTGATTACTCTTTTAAGAAAATCATAACTTTCCCCTCTAAAATTCCATAAAGCACCCAGCATCTCGCAACATTCGTGCGTCCGGTCGGATAACGCGGTATATCCACATCAGCCAGTTACGCACGTCTATTTATTCACCCTTTTAAGTGCTGCCCACTCTGGCAACGTGCGTGTTTTACACGTGTCTGCATTCATAAAGATAACGAGAAAGGGTTTACAGCTTAAAAGCGCGGCGCAGGAAGTATCCGCTTGTGCCGGCCATCCAGAGAGAAACACACAAAAACGCATCCAGCAGCTTTATCAAAAGCGCGAGAATAATCTCGTCAGCCGGCGCCGAGCAGACTGCTGGAAAAATAAATAAATAAAACTCTTCTCTCGTGTTTTCCTTTTTTTTTTATATGATTCCTCTCCAATCGATTCGCGAATTCAAGCTTAATGGAGGCACATTTAGTGACGGTGCAGCTTTAAGCGCGTCATCATTATTTTGCATAGCCCGGCCGGAACCGGTCGAAGCTCAAAGCTGAATTATGCAGCGATTCGGCCCCAGCTGCTGGCCATATTGCAGCAGAGGTGTAATGGAAGGGAAATTACCCGGGTTAATTATTAACCGGGGGCCCTAATGTTGGCAACAATGAATCAGACTCGCTTCTTTTTCTGTTTTTGACAGCAGGGCCGCCCAGCGCGTACATAAATAAATTCGTAAATAAATATGCTTGCAGCGTGTATAGCGAAAGGGTGAAAGTTGATGGTGGTGTTGCCGCTCGATTTATTTTCCAGCTCTCGGTGTTAATCCATCATCGCGACTGACAGCGCAGATTGCATGCGTTTGCATTTGGGAGTTGCTGTGATACGCAGGTGAAGAGATGCACGGGGGCTTTATCGGTGCGGTCACATTTGCGATGGTGTGGGGCGTGAAATTTTAATTAAATTGCCAAATCAATATGCTTTTAAATGCTTTAAAAAGAATTGTGTGCTACAAAAACTGATAAAACCATTTAAAAATGATTTTGTTGATTTAAAAAAAAAAGTTTTCTCGATTTTATTTATTTCCTGATTAGTGATGAGATCTTGACATTAAATTTAAGAACAAATTTACATGGAAACTTTAAATCTTAGAGAATATTATACACTGTCAAGTCTTGCTTAAAGAGAGTTCCATATCTATTATTTTCAACAAACTACAACATTATTCTTTAATTTCATTATCAATACTTATATAAATTTTTACAAATATTTTTTGTTTTATTTTTATTATCATTAAAAACCAAACCACCTGTTTCTGTTCTGATTGCTAATAATTATAAATAAAATATAAAAAAATTTAAAAATTGGGAAGACAATTGTCATATAATACAATTATTTATTATTCTTGTTATTTATATAAGCCAATAAACGATATAAGTATCAATTAAAAATTGTCTGATTTATAAAAATTTTAATATTTTATGATACTTAATTAACGACTAGGTACATTATTAACAGCAGCAGCTGTATATTAAATAACACATTTTTATGAAGTATCAGTAATCGGATCATCAATTCTTTCACTGAATATCAAATATTCTGCACCAAAAAAAGAGAGAGCCGATAAAATGTGTGCGCAGCAAATACAATTTTTATGGGTGGATTATGAAAATGCGCTCGGCCACCGGACAAAGGGATAAAACAAATCATAAATTCAGGCGAGCCGGCGGCGGCGCTGCATGCACGGACGAATTCCCTCGCCACGCATCCAGATATTGTGTTATGCAAATTCGGGAGCTACACTGGTGTGTGCGGGCGCCACTAAATTATTCACAGAATTCATTGGTACTTTTTTAATGCGAGACCTCGGCGGCCATAAATCCCTCGTCGAAATATGCAGCCAATCAGGCCGACATATTATTCATGATCATGCTCCGACTACATTGCTACGATGCCAATTCCTCATTTCGCGCCCGACGCCCTCTTTTCCGGAGACCATGAGAAAAATTTATAAAATCGAAGTGAGCACGAGAGCGTCGGATTTTCTTTTTAATATCCTGTTTAATATGTAATTCCCGCTCGCGTGTTTTGTTTGACGCGAGAAAGAATAAAAAAGGGCAGAGAAGTTCTTCGGCGGTGACGGATGAGAGCAGCGGAAATTTATTATTTCCAGCGTATTGATCTATGAAAATGGCGTTTTTCTGCTCTAGATTTTTGAGCTGAACGTGATCGAGAGAGGAGAAATGAAGCAAGGGATGATTTTGACATGTGGAAAGATAAAAACGGCTGCTGCCCTGCTACGCCGTTGATTTGGTGCGTTTCACAGACGCAAAATTCTCCGGCGAATGATGGCTGCTGTTTTTTGAAAAGACAACAATGGGAACATCCAGCCCTCATCGACAGATGAGGTACACGTCTCAAATTACGATTTTGGTTCAAATGATAATCAGTCTGTTGCAGGAATGAATTTCGTGAAATCGGGGTCGAGACTGAACTGTTATGCTCGCAGTGTTTATAGAAGGAAATTTTCCTTTCATTTCTATAATATCATTTGCATTTTCAGTGCTTTAAAGGAAGAGGCGTGGCAAAAATAGTGATCAAAATGTGGTAACAAAGTAAAAGTTGTTAAATTAATATTATAAAAAGTTAAGTAACAATTTATAATTTTTTCATTTTTATATTTTGCTTTATAAGTAAAAATTTTTATTAGTTTAAAAAAATATATATTCCATTTATTTTAGCTATATTGACAAAAATTTACATTCAATTATGTCCAAAAAAATAATTATCTTTAATAAATTATGTTCTTATTGGTATCTTTAGTATAAACAATATTATATATAAATTTTTGGTCTTTTCTTGAATAGAGGATTATATTTTAAAATAACTCCTGACTCCTGTTCAAGAACATCATTTGTTGTTATTCCATCGTCAATTTGTTTCAAATTTAAGGAATGAAATTAATGAAATTAAGATAAAATAAAACAGGAAACATTTTTCTCTTGGTTCATGTACAGAATGCAAAATAAAAACACATTTTTACACATACTTATTGATAACCTTTATGACCTATAAAACCAATGAGACTGGTCCACCTCAAGCAACGCTCATCACTCATCACGATATAGTTCTTTATACTTTAAATTGTGTTACCACAACCTTATTCCCATAAGCTCTCACAATCAGTGAAACTTGTAAGGCTAATTTGAAATCCACAGACGAATAGAGAATAAAATCGCAGCAAGATAATAAAAACAAACTTATAGTCGACTAGAAAAAAATTAAACGAGAGAAACTAATAACTTTTTTTATAAGAATCGCATTAAAAAAAAGAAGAGAAAAACTGAAAATTTGAAGGTCCAGAAAGCATATGAGCAAATAATAAACTTTTACAACTAAAGCCCTCGGATACACTACTTTCACTAATGAGACTAATTTCGCTTTTTCCCAGTTTCCCTTTTAACCATACGAATCTTTTTCTTTTCGGTAATGAGAGCCAAAAATAAAAACATAATGCGCTGCTTTTAGCGATGCCCCTTCATCTGCGGAGAACAAAAATTCTGCGGTCCCTTGCGAGTTCTCCAGCGACGACGCCGACAAAGCCCCATTTTAGCACTCCCGAAAGTCCCTGCGGAATCGCGCTCGTATGTCCTCCTTTTCACTAATGGCTTATGTGTGATGTACGAGAGAGAGCCAACGTGGCCGCACCGAGGTAATATTTCTCCCTCTCGCTCAGAAAACATTGCCGGCAAATGCTCTGTATTTATGGCTTTCCTGTTTGGCCATTTTTCTGCCGCTCGCACCGCAAAGAGCAAAAGCATGCCCAGAGTTTTTCCCCCTCCAGGATTATTATTTCGTCGCGGCCGCTTTTTGTACCACTTTTATCCGCTGATAAATAATTAAATCGGAATACATTCTCGAACATAGTGTCGAAGATTATAAATTGCCGGACAATGCGCAGCAACAGGAAGCGACAATACAATGTACCAATGCATTATCTCTCAGCGAGCCCTGCCGTGCCTTGAATCATAATAAGCTCCTCGTGCCTGAAACCGATACGGCCTATTGTCTTCGATACCTTCAATTCAGCCGCTTATGGCTATTCTTTGCTAATATTCATATAAAATATGCAACAGAAGATAATATTTTGCATAAAATAAATGAATGCTAAAATTTATAAAGCTAATAAATTTAAATTAGATATAACAGACTGTGTTATATATAATTTATTATATTTATTTTTATCCTCAAATCGTTATTTTATTAAATTTGTTAATTTTTCGTATTTCATAGCTAAATGTTAGCGAGACGTTCCTAATCATTAATGAATCT